GGGCCCCCACTCCGGGGGTGGAATGTGAGCCTTGCCTAATGGAGGCCCCCAGGAGATTTTCCAAGACTCACGAGATGTCAAGTCATCTCTAAAATTTTTCAAAAACCCAGAAAGTCATTTCAAAAAGTCTAACTTGGTGGCCCCACAGAGAGGAAGATCAAACTTTCCACAGAGACACAGCAAATCTGTCATACAGGCTTCTGTTCCAGCTACAAAGGTACTGGGGACCAGACTTCAGGGAAAGCTCCCTGACCCAGGGGGAAGTCCACCTGGCTAAGTAGTTTACCTGCTGCTTGGCAACCAGTGACAGATATTCATGAAGTCTGTTTCCAGGGGGGTTTCCCTTTACAATGGAATCAGCAAAGGTTTGGTCTGCCAGAGTTCCCAGAGGAAAATCATTTGCCTCTGTGGAAAAATCTCAAATTTGGATTTCTCATTTAGTCATGAGTCTTTTCAAATAAAGAAAATTTACTATAATAGGAGACCTTAATAGTAACAATGTATATTCTATGATTTTTTTTGGTTCATTTTTAAATTTTAAAAAATGAGCAGTACTGGAGAGTGAACCCAGGACCTTTCTAGTGAGCTACATCCCTAGCCCTTTGAAAAACTTTTTTTTTTTTTTCAGAATTTAGAGATAGGAGGGCTGGGGATATAGCTCAGTGGTACAGATATAGCTCAGTGGTACAGCGCTTGCGTAGCAAGCACAAGATCCTCAGTTCGATTTCTGGCACCAAAAAAAAAACCAAAAAAACAACAAAAAAAAACAGGACAATTAAAGTTTGGGCCAGGGATGTAGCTCAGTGATGTAAGCGCTTGCCTGGCAAGCCTGAGGTCATGAGTTTAATTACCCGTACCAAAAAAAAAAAAGAATTTAGAGACAGAGTCTCACTAGGTTGCCCAGGTTGGGCTCGAACTTGCAATCCTCTTGCCTCAGCCTCCCAGAGTATTGGGATTACAGATGTGCACCACCAGGCCTGGCAAAACTAAGGTTCTCATTCCAGCCTTCAATATCTGTCTGTACTGAAAATGAAGCTGAAGGCTGGCATGCTTAACCCCAGCACTGTGGGAGGCTAAGGCCGCAGGACTGTGAGTCTGAGCCCAGCCTAGGCAGCTTAGTGACATAGCAAGATCCTGCCCAAAACATAAGGGAGTGGGATGCCCTGAGAATGTAGCTCAGTGCAAAGGCCATGGCTGGGATGAATCCCCAAACACACACACACACACACACACACACACACACACACACACAAACTTGAAGTTGATTCCTTCCAGGAAGAATTTTTTTTTTTTTTTTTGGTTTTTCTCCGGTACCGGGAACCGAACTCACGACCTTGTGCTTGCCAGGTAGGCGCTTTTGCCGCTGAGCTAAATCCCCAGCCCCCCAGGAAGAATTTTTAAGAGTATTAAAATGTACATGCATCGCAAATCCTATCCCTCTTTCAAAGACTAGTTTGAATACAACCTTAAGAGGTGGGCTGGGGATATAGCTCAGTGGCATAAGTGCCTGCCTGGCAAGCACAAGGTCCTGAGTTCAATTCCCAGTACCAAAAAAAGAGGTGGTCAGGGGCTGGAATGTAGCTCAGCAACACAGTGCCTGCCTGGCAAGGGCAATGTCTTGAGTTTGGTTCCCAGTTGAAAACAAAAGGTGATCAAGATTTGTTGAAATGTATGAAATATTTCTCACAGCCTGCCAGCGTATGAGTCGAAATATCCCATCACAAGGCAATGAATGTCCACAGCACATCTACATGGGAACCAAAGCTTTGCAGCTATGCAAATGTCTCAATTATTCCTTTTCTTTCTGTAGTTTTCAGCTCATTTTAACAGCCATATATTGAACTGTTGAGTCAAGCCCCATGCCAGGATAGTGAAGGAAACAGAAAGGAAAAGTACTAACTTTCTCCTGTCAATCATTGGCAAAACACAGATGCACAGCTCTGTAAGTTAAACCACATAATTGCCCAAATTTGACCTATGAAGGCAACCATCTTGGGCTCGGGAGATAGCTCAGTGGCAGCGGGCTTGCCCAGCACACAGGAGACCCTAGTTTCAGTCCCCAGCATGGCCAGCAAAGGTGGGCGGCATCTAATTTCATTCAAACTGACAAAAAATTAAAATGATATGCAGTGGACACATAAGAGAGAGAGCAGATTTGGGCTTCTTAGAAGAGGTGATGGGAATGGTGGACCTAACAGGGGTAGGGGGAGCTTGAGCAGTGATCAGGCAGCTCAGCTCAGAGCAGTGCTGTGCGGTATAACCAGGAACAGACCAGAAGGATACAGGGAAAGAGAAAGTTGAAAGACAGGTCAACTTCTTGACAGCTTTGAATGCTAAAGAATAGATTTTATGAAGTAGATATGGGGACCCAAAGGAATCTAGACAGAGTAAGGACCCAATGAGACGCTGCTTTTAAAAATGATACCAAGAATGTAGATAGATCAACAAATAGAGTGTACTGTGCCAGGGAAAATTGTAAAGAGGTCTAAATTTAGATTGTGCCAGTGGGAGTAAAAAGCAGGCAGGAGAGTAGAGCACGGCATGGCAACAATCAACAGCATTCAGTGACGTGTATGGGAAGGCGACAGTATGAAGGGCCCCAATGTAATGAGTACTAATTATGTGCTAGGGACTTTGTTAGGCACCACCTTGCCTTGTCATTCAATATTCACAACAGCCCCCACAATGTGGATTCTATTATCCCAATTTAACAGATAAAGAGAATCCAGACCTAGGAATATTGCATAATATTGCACAGATAAAGAGAATCCAGACCTAGGAATATTGCATAAGGTGACTGTTACAAATTGACTTTGAATTCAGGTTTATCTAGAAAGGGATGCACTCCATTGTAATACATGCTTGGTATTGTTCAATTTATCTGAGCTTTATCGGATTCAAAACCAAGATTCTTGCCCTCATGGAGCTTAGAGTAGGGGTGAAAGGACAGTAAACAATGAAAACAATAAATAAAATTATGAGTTATAAAACAGGGAAAAAAGAGCAGATTAATAGAAGTCAGGGGAAGCCGGGCGTGGTGGTGCATGCCAGTAATCCCAGCACTCAGGAGGCTGAGGTAGGAGGATCACCGTGAGTTTAAGGCCAGCATAGGGTACAAAGTGAGCTCAAGGCCAGCCTGAACTGCATAGCTAGACCCTGTCTCAAAAAGACCAAAAAAAAAAAAAGAAAAAAAAAAAGAAAAAGAAAAAGAAAAAGAAATCTTTGGAGGGTGGGGAATAAAAACCCAATTGCTTGAGGAAGCCATCCACAATCCAAGCTTTTGCTAACTTCTACTATCTGTGGTGAGTGAACTTTCCTTTTGGTTACAACATGTGTTAGTCCAGTTTTCA